CTTTACTCTAAAACATCCAAATAAATAATATATTGTGGTTTCGTTGTAAAGGATAAGAAACGGTTTGCTTTTGAATTCGAGAACTTGTTTAAAAAAAAAACAGTTAAATTATCTCATCAAAAATCATGTTTATCTTAAAGTTATTAATTTAATTAATGAACGTAATTTGTAATTCAACGCCACCGTCCTGTACGTGTAATCCATATTCCGATATAATCTACCACGAGAAGCAACTTCTGAACAAGATAAATTCTGTAGACTTGTTTCGACGTTGCTTGTTAGATCGAATTGTCCGTATCAGAGTTTGTACGACACGTTTCGTTATCTTGGATGGCGGTAGTACATGTTAATTTCTTACTTTTTTAACACTGTAGGAGAAAATAACTTGAAGAGAAGGTCCCTTTTATACATTTCAAGTTGTTGTTTTTTATTTGGTATAAAATATTTTGTTCGAAAGTTTTATATCTTTTTTTATGTACCAAGAATGTTTGCACCAGCTCTATATTTATCCAAACTTTTTCAGGCATATAATTGAAAGAGTTGGGCAGGTGGCGTTAGCGTAATCTCGTTTGAAAAGCTTTTCAAATCCTTGATTTGCTGGCTTTCCAGTTATCGATCTTTCCAAAAAAAATTGACATACAATCTGTTAGAAATTATGCATGTTCTGGTTGCTAAGATATTGGGTTTTGGAATCGTGTTATTTATTTATTTTGAAACGCGTTTTCAAATTGCAGTCAACCCGAAAGGCTTAATAACCCGTAAAACGTTTTTAACTTACTGGCAAGAAATACAAAATTACTGAAATAAATAAAGTGATGATCGTTAACAGAAGAAAAAAAAAACGTCGACGCGAAGCACAAGGATAAATCAAATTGGAATGTAAAAAAAAATACTGAACACTTAAAAACTAAGGTTTTTCGTATACATTTCTTACCGCACTGAGAAATCGGCCTGGTGTGCCTTAATTATTTTCGTTATTTTCTATTGATAGATAGACGTTTCGAGCTGCGAGACGGAAGGCCGCGATCCCGCTAAACGCGATCCGTACTTTCAGCTGAGCCGGACATGACCGGGTGGTTAGGGCGCTCGACTCGCAAATAAAAACAACAACTTGAAATGTATAAAAGGGACCTTCTCTTCAAGTTATTTTCTCCTACAGTGTTAAAAAATTAACATGTACTACCGTCATCCAAGATAACGAAACGTGTGGTACAAAATCCCGACCCTTGCCCTTTCATCCTTGAGGCGTTACAATGTGACGGTAAATACCACTATTCGTTAGTAAAAGAGGAGTCCAAGAGTCGGCGGTGGGTGGTGATGACTATCCACCTTCCCTCTAGTCTTTCACTGCTAAATTAGGGACGGCTAGCGAAGATAGCCCTCGTGTAGCTTTGCGCGAAATTCAAAACAAACCAAACTTTCGACTGTGGGTGTGTTTATATAAAAGTAGCAGTCAGTCCTGTTATTCGATTCGAATCCGGGCATGACCCTTCTGATTGACTGCCCTCTGGTCATTTGGTGTCGTAGAATTAAGATATTTTCGATTTCAAAAGTTCTGGATTAAATTGCTGCTAACTGTTAGCTTTTTGGTGAGTAGTGGTTGTTGTTGTTGTTGTTGTTAGGGTCCAACAGCAATAAATATCAGAATTAAATCATTGTTATAGAGTAAGTAATATATCTTATTCCGTGTGTGTGTGTGTTTCACTACTTACTTAAACACACCAACCTCCCCATGATTACTTATATTTTATAAATTCTTACTATTCCTGTCATTCATGGTACATGTTAATTAATTTATTGTTGTTTGGTGTATGTTAGTTTTTGTTTTCCTGTAGATAAGCTAAAAACGTTACGGAATGTATTTAATCGTCTACTGTCTGTGTTTACTGTCTACTGTCTGTGTTTATTGTCTACTATCTGTATTTACTGTCTACTGGTTGTATTTACTGTCTACTGTCTGTGTTTATTGTCTAATGGCTGTATTTATTGTCTACTGTCTGTGTTTACTGTCTACTGTCTGTGTTTACTGTCTAATGGCCGTATTTATTGTCTAATCGTTGTATTTATTGTCTAATGGCTGTGTTTATTGTCTAATGGCTGTATTTACTGACTACTGTCTGTGTTTATTGTCTAATGGCTGTATTTATTGTCTAATGGCTGTGTTTATTGTGCAACGACTGTATATATATATTTTAAAAACTAATAAGTAAGGATCTAGCTTCTCACCCTCGAGTTATTGATGAGTCCATGTGAATCCAGTTGTTTAAGCACCAAAATGTTTGTTTGTGGATCCATTACATTGTTGGTTACAGGATTCCTACTAACGAGTGGTAAAATGGAAAAGTGTCATCAATATTGCCATTAGCCACACTAGGATCTACCGTGTTCTACACCTATATCCTCCCCTATTTTTTTACTCGATCTGTTCTTTTCACTGAATGTACAACGGGTAAAACATCATAAAATTACCGAATATGGTACAGTATGTAGTAATCAAAGATATTAGAACAAGCCAGTAATTTGATGGTTACTTGGAACCTTTAGGATCTTGACCAGAACTGATCGTAAATATTACGAGTCTGACACCACAGCGTGCAGTACAATGGGTGAAAATTTATAAGATACTTTGCAATCTCATTGAGAATGTCTTAAGCAGTTCTTATACATTGCCATAGTAACGTTTTGGCTGATTATTTTCATGGCAGCTTGTACATTCTTAATTAGTTTAGCCGTTAGTTTCATTAATTAATCCATTAGTCACGTTGTTTTGTTACAATGTTTACCCATGTCACAAGAAAAAAAATGTTTTGAGTCAATGATTAATGTAGCATTGGAAATAGGAATATAGGACTAGTTCTTTACTTTTCTTACCAGATGGCGCTTAGTAAGAAACGTGTCTAGTTTTAGGTTTGTTTGGGTATCGAAGCCAGATTTTTAAGCATTACAAGCCCTCAGGCTTACCGCTGAGCCACCGGGGTGGGGAGGGAGGGGGTGGGCTTGACTTATTGAGTACGTTTGTTAGAAATGTTTTCTTATCCACGTTTTTTTACAAAGTTTGTCCCTTGTTTTTATGTATTAATATAAATATCTCAAACTGTCCAGCTGTCTTTTAAGTGACATTATCACTAGTAGAAAATTCATCGGTGTTTAAAATGTTAATTCTACGAGTCAAATATATAAGTGGTGTTATATATTTCATGGCTGATTGTTTCAAAATTTCTGATTTTTTTACAGTTTAAAAAAAAAATGTGTTGAAATACCATTTTATACTGGAAGAAGTCTTTTTTTAATTATTGTTTAATAGTTATAAATTGGATGTTGCTACGTAAAGTAATCGGGTAATATAGAATATAGAAAAAAAATCAATAATTTCGATGTTTGGAATGAAAAAAGAGTTGGGTTTATAAACATATAAATAATAGCCGAAGGAGGGTTAGGCGGCCACTCCCACTTTCTCTGTAAAATACTTTATTATTATTTATATTTTAATTTTTCAAAATAAATTCAACAAAAGTGATATATATAAAAATGGAGTACACTGTATTTTGGAGGCCCTAATCTTAATATCATCATTGGACCGTCCCCTTTAGGGTTAGCTTAGCCACTGTAATTCGCTGCTTTGGAGAGTCCACTTTTTGACCTGTGGTAGGTAAAATTGCTGTACAATGTCTTTTAGATTTGGAAATTTGATCTCAATATCCTTCATATTTGTATGGAATCGGTAAAGTTAAGCATCCCAAAATACTTCAGTCTTCCCAACAATGGCGCTCAGAAGTACTCAATTCCGTGGACACATCTTCATCAAACGACTTGCTACAGGTTATTGGTGAGGAGTTTTCCACGCTCTCTCTCTACACGAACCGTGTCATCAAACGACTTGCTACAGGTTATTGGTGAGGAGTTTTCCACGCTCTCTACACGAACAGTGCCAAATCCAAAAATTCAGATGAACTGCGAAACCAGATGGCTATGTCACCAAATTTTGTTCCTATTCAATACACACCTCCAATAAGCAGGGCAGCCTATTTCCACATTTTTGGAGCTCGTCATCAAGTCATACTTGGCATCATTTGAAGACTGTGCTAAATATGGAGGAGTATGGGATACAAGGTGGTTCCGGTTGACCTGTAACCACCGACACAGCTGCAGCATCCAGGGAACTTCTTACAGATGTTAGATGTTCATGTTAGAACAGTCAACGACTGTGTGTGTCATGTGGATGTACCAAGAAAGATATCGCTTGTAGTGTCCATTGGAAGTTTGAAGCACAACGCCAAAACGCTTCTAACATCATTGATGACGAAGAACTTGCCTGATTAATATATAAAATGTATTATCTGACTCTTGTCATGCTAATTGATGTACTTATTGATGTATTATCTGACTCTTGTCATGCTAATTGATGTATTATCTGACTCTTGTCATGCTAATTGATGTATTATCTGACTCTTGTCATGCTAATTGATGTACTTATTGATGTATTATTTGACTCTTGTCATGCTAATTGATGTATTATCTGACTCTTGTCATGCTAATTGATGTATTATCTGACTCTTGCCGTGTTAATTGTTGTACTTATTGATGTATTATCTGACTCTTGCCGTGTTAATTGTTGTACTTATTGATGTATTATCTGACTCTTGCCGTGTTAATTGTTGTACTTATTGATGTATTATTTGACTCTTGTCGTGTTAATTGTTGTACTTATTGATGTATTATTTGACTCTAGTCAAATAATTTGATAGTTTTTGAAATATTTTTTAAATTTTGACCCACCAACCGATAAAGTAACACGTGTGTGTGTGTGTGTGTGTTGGGGGGGGGGGGGTTAAGGAATCCCATATTTCTCTTCCGAGCCCTTAAATTACACGCTTGCTACTTGAGCTCCGATTTGGCGCAGCTCGGAGCTTTCTTGGTGTATGTTTATTAGACTCGTATGTTTATGACAAGTATTGTGAACTAACCTTAAACACTCCTATCTGTCTTTCGTTGTTTATTAGGCTCTGGGCAGAAGTGTTCCATGTCAGTGCCAGTAGTGGCGCAGTGAAATGGCAGCAGGTATCAGAAGACCTCGTGCCAGTGAATATCACGTGTATTCAAGATACCCCAGAATGCGTGTTTCACATCACAGCTTACAATTCCCAGGTGGTGAAAATTCTGGATGTCAGACTAGTTCAACCAGGTGGGTTTGTACGTATTATACACCTACATAGCTGTACGTATGGTGTCTATTATACACCTGCATAGCTGTATTTGTGGTAGTTTATCTGTACGTATATTATACACTTACATAGCTGTATTTATGGTAGTTTATCTGTACGTATATTATACACCTACATAGCTGTATTTATGGTAGTTTATCTGTACGTATATTATACACCTACATAGCTGTATTTATGGTAGTTTATCTGTACGTATATTATACACCTACATAGCTGTATTTATGGTGGGTATTCTACATATCTTTATACAATGTGTTATGGTACGTGCACAGTGTACGCTGTGTGTTATGGTATATATTTCCTGACTTATATTATATTATAACCATATTATAACTTCAAAACTAATGTAATGTTATTACATTTTACACAAATTGATATCAAATTATTATGTTTATGGCCAGTAAAGCCCAAACTATTTGATATTTGTATCTATTTCTCGGGGTATTGTAATCCAGTAAGAACGATGTTTGTGTTCACTCTAGAAGGTGTGAAGGTTTTTGTAATCACGTTAGATATTGTAATCCAGTAAGAACGATGTTTGTGTTCACTGTAGAAGGTGTGAAGGTTTTTGTAAACACGTTAGATATTGTAATCCAGTAAGAACGATGTTTGTGTTCACTGTAGAAGGTGTGAAGGTTTTTGTAAACACGTTAGATATTGTAATCCAGTAAAAACGATGTTTGTGTTCACTCTAGAAGGTGTGTAGGTTTTTGTAGTCACGTTAGATATTGTAAGCCAGTAAGAACGGTGTTTGTGTTCACTTTAGAAGGTGTGAATGTTTTTGTAATCACGTTAGATATTGTAATCCAGTAAAAACGATGTTTGTGTTCACTCTGGAAGGTGTGTAGGTTTTGTAAACACGTTAGATATTGTAATCCAGTAAAAACAATGTTTGTGTTCACTCTAGAACGTGTGAAGGTTTTTGTAATCACGTTAGATATTGTAATCCAGTAAGAACGGTGTTTGTGTTCACTCTAGAACGTGTGAAGGTTTTTGTAAACACGTTAGATATTGTAATCCAGTCAACAGTAATCACCGTCAACTCTTTGGCTACCCTTGTCTGGAAGAATATAGTGATTTGACCGTCACTCTTATAACGCAACCATGGCCCAAAGTACATACCGCGATCTTTTGTTTATATTTTTTGTGGTATAAGGTCGCAGACATGAGATCCACAGTCCATTTGCTAAACCACAAGTCCCCCAGTGGCTCATCAGTAATCTGTGGGCTTACAGCGTTAAAAACCGAGTTTCGATACCTGTGGTGGGCACAGCACAGTTAGCTCACTTTATACTTAATAACAAAGAAGCTAATCTGCAAAATTAAATAATGTTACCATGATACAGTATGGGTTGTACGAAACATTTTCAGGACTGTTTGTTGCTGTTGTTTTAGGCCTACGTATTAGTCCCGGCTAAAAATCTTTTCTTAATCACTTAAATTGACATTAACAGGTAATAAAACTCACCATTCTCACCTAATGATATATTTTCGTTCAACAGCTTTATATTTGAGAATATTTTTATGCTGTATTTGTTTCAGAGCCTTTCCCTTTTTGGAGGGCCCCAGCATGGCCAGGTGGTTAGGGCGCTTGACTCGCAATCTGAGGGTCGCGGGTTGGAATCCCCGTCCTACCAAACATGCTCGCTCTTTCAGCTGTGTGTGTGGGGGGGGGGCGTTATAATGACGGTCAAAAACGGTGGTAAAAGAGTTGGCGGTGGGTGTTGATGACTAGCTGCCTTCCCTCTAGTCTTACACTGCTAAATTAGGGACGGCTAGCGCACATAGCCCTCGTGTAGCTTTGCACGAAATTCGAAACAAACCCTTTTTGGAATAGATGCCGGAAAGAAATTGTATGGTTTGTAATATAATCCGCAGATAAACTGATTTACATAAAAATACAAAATGTATTAAATTTCGTTTTCCTTAAATTGCCAGATGAAGTATACAGATCTTCCAATTTTTTTTTTTTTTTTCTGTTTCATTTAAAATTGCATCTACCATATTAATTTCACGTAGGCACGAACTCCAAGTAAACGTTTCATTTATAGCTGGAAATATTAATACTGTTTCCTGTTTTCTTACAAATTTTTGTATTTCTTGTATCTCGAATTTAATCGGTTTAGTTTTCAAAACTTCATTAATGTGGATTTCGGTAATTCTTCAAAGACAGTGATTCGGACATAAACGTGATGTATGGGAAAGAGATTTTCCAAATGTTTGAAATTAAAAAATACAAATGCTGTGTGTGTGTGTATTGTAACACGACGTGAGATGTCGCTGCAACTGTTTTTAGATCAATAAGCAGAATATTCCCTTGACAGCTGCTGAAATGAGCAACCTGTCTGATGAACTGAAGTTTAGACAACGTTTCGATACCTTTTTAGAACCGAAACGTCGTATAAGCGTTAATTCGCCCAATTTTCAACTGTTCACTAGCTACTAACTACGCCTTTTAAACAACAGGAAATCGAACACGTTCTTGTCTTTATTAGTGGCTTTTGTTTTTATATTTACTTCTTGTTAGATACCACGCAGGGACTATATATTGTGGCGGATCACTAAAATGTGCTTACAACGAAAAAACATTATGACTTACATGTGAATATTCTGTTAGTGGTTGAGATACATTGAATTAGATTTCATAAAGAGTTAAAGAAACAAAAACCGGTCAGTAAGAAGACTGTTCGAGGTTTTCTTAACAATAATGAACTGACATAATTTTGTAACGTGATCGGCAAACCAAAATACTTTAGAAACTTGCCTGAGGGGGAATTAAAGCTGGAATCTAGTTTTTCAAATTGTCTATTTCAACAAAATTAGACTCGTGTTGCGAATTATGGCGACAACAACGGACATGTTATTAACATTCAACAATTCATCAGCTGTAGCCATTATCTTAACGGCCGTTCGTTACACCCAATTTAAAAAATGTTAAATCTTTGAATGTCCGGTTAAATATTTGGTGAGATCTCGGACAAAAGTTGTTCCGAAAAACTTAAAAGAATTTAGTTCGATTTCAAAAGTAGTTTCTCACTTCAAAAACTAAGATGTAGTTGATCTGGAGAAAATACAAAGCTGTGGCTTGCCCATGAACAAAGAAACTGAGTTGTCATTCAAAACTAAGATGTAGTTGATCTGGAGAAAATACAAAGCTGTGGCTTGCCCATGAACAAAGAAACTGAGTTGTCATTCAAAACTAAGATATAGTTGATCCGGAGAAAATACAAAGCTGTGGCTTGCCCATGAACAAAGAAACTGAGTTGTCGTTGTTATCCTTTGTTTATACAAGTTAAAAGATTAGAAAGAAACTGTGCTTTATGAACTTTAAGGGCCCAAGGTTTATAGTGAGGTATTACTTAGTTAATTTTACAATCATAAAACAGTAGTAACTTCTCTACGGAAAACGGGAAAGTCAACAATTGTTACAAGTATATTTTTAGATAAAATGTCTTTTTTTAACGATAAAATATTGCAACATATATCTGAAGTAAGTTTGGTCCTTTGTGTTTTAGAGCATAGTATTTTAGGGGCAAAAATACCTTTTTTTAAGTTCAATAAATGCTAGAAATTATCCTTGTGCTGGAAAATATTCTTGATATTCCTGAGAAAAAGAACCTTCTTTCGCTGAGGACAAATAATGCAATAAACCACGTTTAATGATTTCTTAAGATTTGAAAATATGGGCACTTTTTTATCACATTGATGAAGTCGCATTAACAGGATAGAAACTGCCATTAACTGATATACTCAAACCATCTTGAGTGCTAGTCAGTAAGGATAGCATAGTTGTTGTTGTTTGATAGATGAACATGATAAAATGCAGCATTTCGTTATATAAATTAGTCTAAACGAAAGCTTTCGTCAATTTCTTGATAGTAATTGAATAAAAAATGCTACCTATTGCTGTGATTGGTGGATTCAAAGAGGAAATCCAATACTTATTTATGATAGGTCAGTTTGAAAAACACAATGTCACCTATTACCATTATGGGACTAGATGCTGCCCATTGCTATAATTGGTCAGTTTTAAGACGTCCAGTTTCTTGCTATAGGTATCAATTTAAAGAAAAGATGCCGTCTATCATTGAGGTTGGTCACTTTGAAGGAAAAACGATTTTGATTGGTCAGTTTGAAAAAAAAGCAACTTCAATTTGCCATGAAAGGTCAGTTTAAATAAGATACAGCACAATTTATTGAGATAAGTTCTGTTGCTAGTCCGTATCATGGCCCGGCATGGCCAGGTGGTTAAGGCACTCGACTCGCAATCTGAGTCGAATCCCCGTCACACCAAACATGATCGCCCTTTCAGCCGTGGGGGCGTTATTATGTGACGGTCAATCCCACTATTCGTTGGTAAAAGAGTAGCCCAAGAGTTGGCGGTGGGTGGTGGTGACTAGCAGCCTTCCCTCTAGTCTTACACTGCTAAATTAGGGACGGCTAGCGCAGATAGCCCTCGTGTAGCTTTGCGCGAAATTCAAAACAGACAGACAGTCCGTATCCTAAAATATATACCGTAAGTTCATTACACTAATTAGCTGCTTAAGTAGACCAATTTAAACACGTGTAAGTTTCGTATTTTTATTAATGAAGCTTGTGTTATAATTAATTGATATTTAATGACGAGCTGCCCTGAGTATAGTAATTAGTGATGCTTATTAAATAGGTTGTTGACTTGGAAAGTAATTAAAGGGGTGACTTCTGCCGAATTCACACGTTATTCACACTACTGTACATTAAACAGGAGCAACCCTGAAATTGAAACAAATTTAAGACTTTGCATTCTAGCGATGGGTTAATAAACCGTGTGCAGAAAACGGGGGTGGGTGGGATAATGATACATGTTTTAGATACGTTTTAGTTGTGATTATCAAGTGTGATAGTTTTTTGTAATAAATCCCGTGGAGAAGAATGGGACATAATACACGTTGTAAATACATTGTTAGGTGTGATTATCAAG